TAGGACTTCAGGGAAAAAAATGTTGGTTATTCATCTTAAAGAAGTAATAATAATAATTATGATAATGATGATAATAAATAACAATAATGATTATAATAACAATTATAATAATAATAGTAATAATTAACAGTAATAATAATAATAGTAATTAACAATGATAATAATAATGATAAAGATAATGATAGTAATTTATGATAATGATAACAATAATTAACAACAACAACAATGATAATAATTATAATAATAATAATAATAATAATAATAATAATAATAATAATAATAATGATAATAATAATAAAACGAAATTGGAAATATGTTAATAAAATACCCGTCATTACAGTAAGATTCCGAAGCACTGCATTGCCTCCCCTGTTCGATATGCCTATATATATAATATTCAATATCTATCTATCTATATCTATCTGTCTATATATGCGTGTGTGTGTGTTGTGTGTGTGTGTGTGTGTGTGTGTGTGTGTGTGTGTGTGTGTGTGTGTGTGTGTGTGTGTGTGTGTGTGTGTATACGACATGTGCAGCTCGAAATGGAGTGCGTTATACCCTATTACCTGTTCGATATGCCAAGGTTCGAGAGGATGGGGCGTCGGGAGGAGGTCGGACACCGGAAGGAAGCCGCCCACGCCCGCGGTGTACGAGAGGGCGTGCGGGGTGCCGTCGGGGTGCGTGAACCTTGGGCGAGGAAGAGGTTTGAAAAAGGTAAGTATTTTATTCGTATCAGATGGTTTCTCCCGCTTTGATTTGGTATTGATCTTTTTGAGAGAGAGAGAGAGAGAGAGAGAGAGAGAGAGAGAGAGAGAGAGGAGAGGGGAGGAGGGAGGGAGGGAGAGAGCAGAGAGAGAGAGAGAGAGAGAGAGAGAGAGAGAGAGAGAGAGAGAGAGAGAGAGAGAGAGAGAGAGAGAGAGAGAGAGAGAGAGAGAGAGAGAGAGAGAGAGAGAGAGAGAGAGAGAGAGAGAGAGAGAAGGAGGGAGGGAGGGAGGGAGGGAAGAGGGAGGGAGGGAGGGAGGGAGGGAGGGAGGGAGGGAGAGAAGAGAGAGAGAGAGAGAGAGAGAGAGAGAGAGAGAGAGAGAGAGAGAGAGAGAGAGAGAGAGAGAGAGAGAGAGAGAGAGAGAGAGAGAGAGAGAGAGAGGGAAAGAGGGAGAGAGAGAGAGAGAGAGAGACAGAGACAGAGACAGAGAGAGACAGAGAGACAGACAGACAGACAGACAGAGAAAGAAAGGTTGGTACGAACAAAGGTAGAAACAGATAGTTAGATAAAGAGACCAAACAACTCACGTGTATTGGCCGCTCTTAGAGGTCGCCGCTCCTGTCTCTTGCCACGCGATGCCGTTTCCGGTTTGGATCCTGCAAAAGACAACAAAAAGACAGCAAAATCAACAAAAAATAACAAATAGATAAGGAGATTAATAATATTGCAACAGGAGAAAAATATGAAAGCAAGCACTCCACACAGCAAGCAAACGAAGCCCATTGAGCCAAGGCAGACGAGCATCGAACCTGCCTCGCTACTCCTGCAAAAGGAATCTTAGCCGCTTGATCCTACCTGAACCCGTATCCTCCTTGCAGGTCGATGGGTATCCTTTCGTCCACCAGGATGGGCACGGGCGTGGCGGCAGGGTAGGCGTATTGCGGGCGTCCGGCCACTAAGCAGACACAACATGCGACCAGGAAGATCTATAAAGAAAAAAGTATTCATGCGACAAGAACATCTATAAACACGAAAAAAATATCATAAATACTCTTGTTTTATCATTGTTCCTAAATCAAAAGGGAATAACGATGGAGAGAGTAAAGATCAAGATTCTAATTAAGCTTTCTTCAAGGGGATAGAAAAAGGTCAGACGCACACAGGGACGAACTTACAACATCCATTCTATGCGCGAGGAGGACGCAGCGGAGAAGGTAGCGTAAGGCCAGCTGACTGTGGACGTCAGTGGCCACTAAACCTTTATATATCGGGGTTCTTGCCTCTCTCTTCGTTCTTGTTTCTCTCACTTCCTCTTCCTCTGTACCTCCCCTCTCTCTCTTTCTCTGCCTGTCTGTGTGTATGTATGTCTTTTGCTTGCTCTCTCTTCTCATCTCTCTCTCTCTCTCTCTCTCTCTCTCTCTCTCTCTCTCTCTCTCTCTCTCTCTCTCTCTCTCTCTCTCTCTCTCTCTCTCTCTCTCTCTCTCTATCTATCTATCTATCTATCTATCAAACTGCCTATCTCTTTTTCTCATTGTTTATAATTTCTTCTTCCGTGATGGAGATTTTTTTTACGGAAATATTCGCATTAAGTGGAATATATCCTTTTATCCATTTAGCCTAAAATATATCCACATAGTCTAAATTATTCTTACATTTTGAGTTATTTGATGTTTCCTTTTTTTCACGAATTGCCCGTGATCCAAAATACACAGATACCCTTTTTATCTAATGTATCTTTCACATACATACGGATAAGAAATGTCATTCTCATATTACGAAACAGATATCTATTTTGTG